GGTAGGCAAGAAAATTCTTAAAATCAAGGTCACGAAAAACAACTGCTATACCCCCCAAAAACATCCATTCAGCAATACTCAGCATCCTCCCTGAAGTGTCTATAAAAACCAAGTTCTATTTTCAAAGAACGTGAACATAATGCTTCCCTAAAGACATTCTCTAGTGTCCCTACTGCAGACTTTAAATGGAATGAGTATCTAAAAGAGGAGGAGGGAAATTCAGACTGGCACAAGCCTTTATTTATGATTCCCACAACCATCACCTAGGTCTCAGACTTCTAACGCTTGCTTTAATTTACTTAGGACAAACGCCTAAGATTGAGACAAGACTGGCTCCAGGAATCTTTCAGGGACCCCAGGACCTATGCCTCCCCGCTTTTGCCTGCTCAATTTTAGCTGAAAAACATCATTGTATTCGTATTTTTTCTTTTCTCCCTTCTTCAAAGAACTAAGTTCATCTCAAGCTATCACTGATTCCACATCTAAGGAAATCTTCCCTATGATGTCAAGCTATAAAATATAAGGTACATTAACAAGAAGCCTCTCAAAGTCCACTGATCTTCCCCATTAAAAGTACCACCACTCTGCCAATTTGCTTTTCATAACTTTATAGATCCACTGCCACTACCTTATTCCGGACCAAAGTCCCAAAGGGAATCTTTTGTAAGGAAAAGAACCTTACAAAAAGGATCAATTTTAAAGTCTTCCCCTTTTCTAAGCAGTAGTCACTCCTCAATTAATGTCAGGCTCTAACAACCTTACTTTTCTCTGTTATCCACCAATACATTACACAGAGTCATCTTCCTAACACATAGCTATGAACATATTGATTCTAACAAATCATCTCAGATTCTCCATTGTCTACCCATTTTAACTATAAACTATGGAACATGATATTCAGAATCATCTTAAATATAGTCACCTTATCAAATAGGATTTCCCTGACCACTTTGTCCAGATAAAACAGTACATTCCTGTCTTACTTTATTTCTCATCCTAGTGCTTGTGACCCCCTGATATATATTTAACTGCTATGTTTACTGACTGTGTCTTTCTACTATAATATATCCTCCCACGTTCACCCTTTTGTTCACCAGTGTACCCTCAACACTAGAATATATTATGTTCTCAACTTGTATTTGTGGAAAGAACAGATGAACACTGACATGCAGTGTACTATAGCTGACTTGGAAGTTAGAAGACCTACATTTGAGTTAGTTTCCACACACCAGCTATATAAGCCTCAACAATTTTACCTTCTTTGGGCTTACATTCTTCATGTATAAAAGGAAAGGGTCAAACTTGATAATCTCTACAACTCTTAAGCTTTCCCAGCTATATCACACTACCTTCTTGTCTAACTGGACTGAAAACCTCCCTTCCCCCAACTTCCCTACCTACATAACTCTGCTCAGTTTCCTTCCATTTGGAATTCCCCTCTTCTCAATTCACATCTGTCAAAATGAACATTAAGGATGAACAATATCCGAAGTGCCATTTTCTTTAAGTCTAACAAACTGTAAGCTCTGTAAAAGGAGGGCGGAGTTCTTATTTTTCTATTCTCAGATGTTGGTACAATGCCTCCCATACAGGTGATCAACAAAACAACTAATGAATCATGAGTACATGAATGAGCAAATGAACAAAGTCTTTCCTGATTCCCTCCCATTGCTCAGGTGATCTCCTGCCTTTGGACTCAAAACACTTGGTATCTTTTATTTTTATTTATGTATTTATTTATTTATTGAGACGCAGTTTCACTCTTGTTGCCCAGGCTGGAGTGCAATGGCTTGATCTCGGCTCACCACAACCTCCGCCTCCCAGGTTCAAGCAATACTCCTGCCTCAGCTTCCTGAGGAGCTGGCATTACAGGCACCCGCCACCACGCCCAGCTAATTTTTTGTATTTTTAGTAGAGAAGGGGTTTCACCATGTTGGCCAGGCTGGTCTTGAACTCCTGACCTCAGGTGATCCGTCCACCTTGGCCTCCCAAAGTGTTGGGATTATAGGTGTGAGCCACCGTGCCCGGCAACACTTGGTATCTTTCAAGGTCCTTACACTCTGTGCTGTTATTAACTTACTTGCCTAATAGACACTCAACTGCAAATTCCTTAAGACTAATCAGCACCCTGATGGTTTCCATATCTCTCTATAGCACCTACAACAGATCTTTGTCATAGCTGTATTTATTTGAAATATTAAACAACAAAAGAATATTTGAGATGAAAAAAAGGGCCTCAAATTACAGACATCATTCCAACTGTGCTATGGTCACTGGGCATATATATGTTGTGTTAAAATCAAGCATTCAAGCATAGTTCAAATATCTCATTCTTTCCTCTCCCTATTATGCTTAATAAAACTTTACTACTTTAAAAATTATAATGGCTACCCTATGTATCATGTAACTACACACCTCTTGCAATATACATATAGGGATCCACACACATCAATACGTTCACGTCACTAAACAGATAAAGCGACTTTTCCACTCATTTCAGACTTCAACCTCATCCAACTCCCTCCTCCGCAAGGTATGAAACAAGTTTTTTAAAAACATCTTTCCATAAGGCCTCCCTTTCTTAGTTCTGCTCCTGAAAGACAAAAAGGACCAATTTTAAAGTCTTCCCCTTTTCTAAGCAGTAGTCACTCCCCAGTTAATTTCCATATCTAACAACCTTACTTTTCTCTGTCATCAAGATTTTTGACCCACTTTACCTCTGCCTCCAAGCTCTTACTCAGCTTCCATGGAACCTTTCTGGCTGCACAAAAGCTGGTGTCCTTCCATTCAATATGTTCTCGCCATCATGTACTAAGTTCAACCTATCTACATCTTCTTTCTGAAATGTGCATCAGTAGCCGCCCCCCCCACCCCAAACACACATCTCCATACACACACACTATATCCATGTGTCACTCTACCTCTGACATACCTCTGGTGTAAGTTCCTTACACCACTCTTAATGAATGCACACGACTCTCAGAATGGTATCTTCCAACTACACTGATTCTAACCCAGTTTCTTCTGAAAAACCCAACCTTGTCCACAGTGCCTCCCTCTTTCCTCACTTCCCCATCTAGTCCCCTTCTTCATTCCCTCCCCACACCGCCAACTAACTACAGATGACATTATTCCTTAATACTCCCAACCCGAGAATGAAGAACAAGCTCCAGTTTCCTGCGGTCTCCCTCTCCTTCTGTCTGCCCTCCTCGGTTACCCCGCCCCAACCCCCCAGGTGTGCAGACTTCCTCCCCGTCCTCTACTCATGCATCGCTCCAACCAATCCCACGCCACACCACGAGTCCCCTGCCACGGGGATCAGACTCCTCCACACCCACCTCCACTCGGGGTCGCCGCTGCCTTCCCGGACGTTTCTCTCCACCCCTCGCTAGCGAGCCCGAGACCACGGGCGCGCGCGCACAGACATTCTCACGCTTCCCCAACCTCCCTCCTCGCACCGGGACGAGCCGGCTTCGCCAGAGCTCAGCCCGGCCGCTGGGGGCTTAGGCACCCATACCCGTTCCGCCCCCTCCCGCAGATCCCCATGCAGCCCCCGCCGCCCTGCCCGGCGAAAAGAAGACGCAGCAACTCCCCCGCCACCCCGGACTTACCACCTCGGTGTCTGTTGCTCCATGCCCTAACCCGCGGCCCGCTCCCCCTACGTACCAGGCCGGCCTCGGCACTCACCGGAGGTACTGCGCGCTCTGCAGGCTCATCCTCCGCCGCCGCGTCTTCCCGCGAAGCCTCCGTGGGTCTCTCAGGCTCCTCGGAGCGGCCCCGCGGCACCGCGGGTGCTGGCGGCCGCCGCCATCTTCCTCTCCTCCGGCTCCTCCTCGCTCGGCAAGGGGGTGGGGGTGAATGAGGCGAGGGGGAGGGAGCGGGGAAAGCTGCTCTCGCTGCTGCTCCGGCCCGTGGGGCGCAGGGACACTCCGACCCAAGGGGGAGGGGGAGGGAGGAGGGGCGGGGGAAAGAGGAGAAGCAGAGGAAGGAAGTCGGCTACGAGGGGGGCTCCCTCTCGCGAGATTTCAGCAGCGCCTGTCCCTCCCGGTGATTTCCGCTTCTCTGTAGCGCTCCCTTTTGGGATCAACGAGCTGTGTGGCGCGTGTGCGGCTTCTGAGCTACCGGCTGGTGGCGCTTGGCGGCTTCCTGCCAATCCACCCTGCTCCTCCCGCGCAAGGGGGCAATCCCAACCCCACCAAGAACACCGAGGCCCAAAGAACTGGGAGTTACACTCAAAGTCTTCCCCCTTCTTATCACACCAGCGGATTTCTCTCTTCCTTTTTGCACGCCTCCACTCTTCCCCACCGGAAACGCCGCCCCTTCCTCCTACAGTTCCTCCCAGCAGTCCCTCGACTCTTGTCTTCTCTCGCGCGTAGAGAGTGACTCGAAGGACCCCCTTTCCTCTTCTCTGCAGCCCCTCCCCATGCACGCTGGGAGACTCTTGGAGGGGATAAGGTGGGGCCCGGAGAGGAAGAGAAAAGAAAACAATCGGATTGGATAGACAGCTGCCATGGCAACTGGAGGCTGTGGTTGTATTGTCATAGTAACCGGTGTGTGCGGACAGGGTGACCCTCCCCTTGGCCAATGGATTCCCAGGAAATCGCCCAGGGTTCCCCGTTGGCTTCCCTTCCATCTAAAGGCCTCCCCCAAGTTAGGAATCGAGGTAGTTCTCCCCGGTGGTGAAGTCCACTTCCTCCTCCCTTCCCACTTCTCACAGCAACTGGGGGGACACCCCGAGGCATTCACCATGGGCTTTTCCACCCGCCTGCAGGCGGGAACCACCTCCATAGTTTCCTCTCAGAGCCGGGCGTGGACAGGGCTGGGCCTGCGAAGAAGATGCATGGCCTGGAGGCTGGCGGGCGGCGGGCTGGAGTCGGGAGAGCGAGGCGGCAGCGCCAAGCGGCGAGGAAGGGCAAGGGGTTTCCCCACAACTGCCTTGGGCTCTGGGAGGCGGGATCCCGCCTGAACGGGGTCCCTGAGGGAGGAGAGCGGCACACGACAGCCGTGATGCCTCCCCTGCCGACGGGGATGGCCGACTTTTGGCGAGTCAACCCCTCCCCCAAATCCACCCCACCCGCGTACTCCCTCCTGACCTAGCTGTCGCGATCCTGCTGCGAGGAGGCCAGGGTGAGGGTAGGAACGCATCCTAGAAGGGTAACACGTGTTTTCTATCATTTAAGTCGGGGACTAACCGGAAGGCTGACTATCGCCATCACTCTGATAGGCACCCGCAGTGGGGATCCTGCTAGATTATTAAAGGCAGACCTCCAAGTTCCTGCCTCCTCTGCAACCTTTCTCCTCTCACGGATCTGCAGTGTTTTAAAAGTCGTCATTCTGTGTCGTTGGGTTAGAGGGGAAAACATTGGATAAAAGAGTATCAGGAAGAACCCTAGATACATCTGTCTGATGAAAGGAGTCTAGGAAAAGAAGTTTCATTCTTAGAATAAATCTTTTTGGATATTTATTATGTGTGTTTTGTGTCAGGTTTCGTGCCAAAAAGCCGAAATAAAGAACGAAGTCAATAATAATATGGAGTATACGAGAAATAGCTGGAAAATTCATCATTCATGGCTTGAAGAAATTGACATTTTACAAGTTGTATTTTCGGTTCGTATTGTGGAGTCATTTAAGGAGCTATCCCAAAGTACTTTAGGATATGTAACTATATAAAACCTTCCAAGAATGCAGCCCTCATAGGAGAGTTAAAATAAGGATTTTAATGGACTATTTTGATTTGGTTTGGTCTGGTTTGGCTACCTGATTCCTGCTGTCTTTTCCCATGCTAGCCGAAGAGGCACTTTCAAGATCCTTCCCTGAAACCTGTACCAATAAGACTATACCAATGTTCAGTTGAAACATCAGGTATAAGTTTAGCGGAAGCGAAAGTACAACCTGCTTTGAAATAAATTCCAAGGACAGATTGTCATTAACGAAATAGAAATTGGACTATGCCCCTGATGCTGCCAGCGCCTGGTATGATGCGGCGTGACGCGCAGCGCTTGCGGCAGTACAATGCCCTCAATCACCCGCCCGGCACCGACGCGCCGCCCACTCACGGCAAAGAGAGCCACCTAGTGAGAGATTATTCTCATTTCCGCGGTGAGGTTCTGCTTTTCCTTCTTCCATGAGCGCCCAAGGATAGATTCCTACTACCTATTACCTCAAATAGCCTACATTTCTTTCCGAAAATTTATTGGTTAGATATTTTTCTTTTTCTTTTTTTTTTAACTTAAAGACCAATGTGATAGTATATTGGTTAGATTTTTTAAAGATTTCAACCAGAATAAAAATGGTAATAATTACCCCCTTACTAATTATGGTAATAGCCATTTATGTCTGTGGCACATATCTCCAGTAAAGAGTGTATGAAGGCCGGGCGCGGTGGCTCACGCCTGTAATCCCAGCACTTTGGGAGGCAGAGGCAGGTGGATCACGAGGTCAGGAGATGGAGACCATCCTGGCTAACATAGTGAAACCCCGTCTCTACTAAAAAAATACAAAAAAATTAGCAGGGCATGGCGGCAGGCACCTGTAGTCCCAGCTACTCGGGAGGCTGAGGCAGGAGAATGGCTTGAATCCGGGAGACGGAGCTTGTAGTGAGCCGAGATCGCGCCACTGCACTCCAGCCTGGGCGACAGAATGAGACTGTCTCAAAAAAATAAAAAGAGTGTATGAACAGTTATCATACATTCCTGATAAGCAATCTAGGAAAATATTGCTACTATCTTCTCATTTTGGAAATAGAGAAATGGATCAGAAAGATGAATCCTTTTGTTAGGGTTTGCTGATTTATTCCATAAACATTTACTGAGTACTTATTGTATTTCAGATACTGTTCTAGTTATGATGGATACCACAATGAAAGAGACCTGGTTCCTGTCTTGAGGGAACCCACCTGCTGGTAGAGATCTCAGAATGATGATTAGGATGCAATATAAGGGATGCAGTAATTGGGGTAAGAACAAAGTAGGAACACATGAGGTCAGAAATAATCTGTGTTTTATTATCTGCTTTCCTAAGAATTTTATAAGACTCTTCAATAGCTTTACAATATCTCTAGCTAAATAGAAGAATAGCAGCATATTTTAGAGATTAGAAGACTTTGATACTAATATTAAAATTACTTTCAAAAATCAATAGGACTCAGAAAAATTATTACCTTCTATTTATATACTGTTTAATACACATTTTCCAATTTCATCTATTTCTACTTGCCCTAGTCAACAAACTTGTAGAATTACAGACATCTTTCTTTCTGCAATAGATATTGTTCACCTTTTTCCCCTGCAGATATAAGATCACATCTAAACCAAAAAAAAATTAAAGAGAAGCTTCCTTACTTACATTAATCCTACCAGATTTTAAGTTTTTGGGTTTGTCTTTTTGGCTAAGTGATTTCATGGAAAGATCACAAGCTAACGGACCTGAGTATGCATTCTAACTCTGCTATCTTGATTTCTGAACTTCAGTTTGCTCCTTGACCAAAATGGAAGCATTACCTGTTATAGGCTTCCTGTGACCTTTAATGATGACATACATGATTGAGTGCCCATTATACAACACTGGACTTGATAAATGTTAATTTTTTTCTGCCCTTTTTTTTTTTTTAACTGAGACAGAGTCTTACTCTGTCACCCAGGCTGGAGTACAGTGGCACAATTTCAGCTCACTGCAACCTCTGCCTCCTGGGTTCAGGCAATTCTAATGCTTCAGCCTCCCAAGTAGCTGGGACTATAGGTGTGTGCCACCATGCCTGGCTAATTTTTGTATTTTCAGTAGAGACAAGGTTCATCATGTTGGCCAGGCTGGTCTCAAACTCCTGACCTCAAGTGATCCGCCTGCCTTGGCCTCCCAAAGTGCTGAGATTATGGGTGTGAGTCACCTTGCCTGGCCCCTTTTGCTCTTTTATATCAAGCTAAAATGAGTAAAATAGAACTACTACAGCATAACGTTATTTTTTAAAATAATACTCTATCTAGTCTTTTTTTTTTGTTTTTTTAAATAGAGATTCAGTCTCACTGTGTTGCCTAGGCTGATATCTAACTCCTGGCCACAAGCAGTCCTCCCACCTCAGCCTCACAAGTAACTGGGATTTTAGGTGCGAATCACTGTACCCAGCTCTCAATCTAGTCTTTGTCTATAATACTCATAGGTCTGAACTCACATTCAAATCTATTGGTGTCCAGTACTAGAAGATAGATTTCTTTATCCATGGCTCTGATTACAGAAAAGAACACAATATTAGGACATTGTGAGTCAGATGCTAGAGATTTAAAACTTTTCAAAAACCTTTTATCACATAAGACAGCCTAATATAACCACACTTCTGTCCAAGTAAATAGAATGGCCTCTTTTCAATCAAACATTGGTACTTGCTGAGAAGCTACTCTTAACATTCTTACCAAATTTACCCAGAGCTTTGGTAACCTGACAATTAATACATAGCAGGCCTCCTCCCTTTTTGTGATAATAGACAGCCTGTTCCATGACATCATAACAAGCCCTAATTTATTTTTATATTTAGCCTACATATTCTGAATGTTTCTAAATCCTGTGCACAATTAGGAACTTGGTAAATCATTCTCATCAAAGTAGAAACACATTTATTATCAATTGCATACTCAGTACACGATGTGTGTGAAGCTAGCCATTCATTCCTCTTCAGTACCACACCTCAGACCATAGAGTTAAGTGATTCAATCAAATGAGTAATTCATGATCTTCAAATAGTGAGTCAGATACAAATTGACATTTAAATTCAGGTCTCCTGTTGCTCAAGATTTCTTAGATCAAGGGTCAGTAGCCTTCAAACAATTTGCAAAGCGTATACTTATTCATTCACCCTAAAGAGGGAGTCTTTTAGCCTGAAGAATAGTCAGGAACCATTGTAGTCCAAGATTGAAGAAAAGAAACTTCTGATATGGGAAGCAGTGAGGTGACAGTTGGGGAACAATATTCAGAGCTTTCTCTCCCCCTTCACTTCTCCATTCTCTTAATATTTACTAAGGGAAATCTTATTATCTTATCCAACTCCCAATAAGCAAATACCTCTGAGAAAGTACCACACCTAAAATTCTTATCTGCTGATTTAATGGACACAATCTGGAGAAGACAAGAAGAGATGCTCACAGGGAAGATTGAAAAGTATTGAAAAACCAAAATAAAAACCCTAACCTCTCTTACTTTATTGGCAGAAGGCCTTAGTGTTCATGCATCTCTTTACTACCCCAAGCACAGTACTTACTGAAATCATCTTGGGGGTCCCTAATCTAACAGCAACATATTTCATGTCAAAGTCTGTTGAGTTACCCAGAAGTTGCCATATTTTTCTTAAAACACCCAACTAAAATAACATAATCTTTTAATATTTTCCAGTTTCTACTTCCCTAACTTTTATCAGGTAGATACTACTTTGGAGCACTAAGAATGTGATACTGATATTCATTGTCATAAATCTGTTCTTCAAAATCAGGGGAAACATGTACATGCATATACACATGTACACACTGATATGGTTTGGCCCTGTGTCCCTGCCCAAATCTCATCTTGATTTATAATCCCCACATGTTGAGGGAGGGACCTGTAATCCCCATGTGTCCAGGGAGGGAGGTGATTGGATCATGGGAGTGGTTTCCCCCATGCTGTTCTCATGATAGTGAGTGAGTTCTCACAAGATCTTATGTTTTTATAAGTGTTTGAAACTTCCTCCTTTGTTCGTCTCTCCCTGCTGCCTCCTAAAGAAGGTGCCTGCTTCGCCTTCCACCATGATTGTAAGTTTCCTGAGGCCTCCCCGACTATACAGAACTGTGAGTCAATTAAACCTCCTTTGCTTATAAATTATCCAGTCTTGGGTAGTATCTTTATAGCAGTGTGAAAATGGACTAACACACACCTTCCTCTTTTCCCTAACATTATTATTGTACCAATGCAATTTCTAGTCAAGTTAAAATGTGATAAAGATGAAAAGCAAAGAAACTTAGGACTTAGGTCCATCACTTCAAGGCATACTAAGAGTATGTATCCAAGCACTTTTTTGCTTTGCTTTACAATCCCAGGGTCTTTTCTATTCTCAGAAAACTTTTACATATCAAAAACCTGGATAGTTTGTCCCATATTTGTAAAAGTTCTTTTTTTTTTTTTTTGGGACAGGGACTTGCTGTGTTGCCCAGGCTGGAGTATAGTAGCATGATCATAGCTCAATGCAGCCTCAACCTCCTGGGCTCAAGTAATCCTCCTGCCTCAGCCTCTTAAGTAACTGGGACTACAGGCTTCCCTCACCATGCCCAGCTAATTTTTTTATTTTTTGTAGAGATGGGGGTCTCCTTATGTTGCCCAGGCTGGTCTCAAACTCCTGGGCTCAAGAAGACCTCCAGCCTTGGCTTCCCAAAGTAATGGGATTACAGGTGACCACCTCACCTGGTCATATTTGTAAAAATTCTTAATATTAGCCTGGCACAGTGGCAGGTGCCTATAATCTCAGCTACTCAGGAGGCTAAGGCAGGAGGATCACTTGAGCCAAGGAGTTTGGGGCCAGCCTGTGCAACATAGCAAGACTCCATCTTAAAAACAATTCTTAATGTTATTGGATTAAGATGTAAGAATACATTCTGGAACAAATTAAATAATAAATTAATGGGTACATATATTCCATATTTTAGCTATGTTAAGCTCTTTAAAAAGTTTTTTCCCCTGGCTTTAAGTCTCCATTGCTTTTCCATTACCCTTAGGATAAAGTTTCCAATCCTTACCATGACCTCTGTTCTGGTCTCTGCCTGCCTCTTCTCTGACAACCCTCCCCACCCCCTGGTATCACCACTCTAGCTATAGTGACCTTCTGTTAGGTCCTCAAATAAGCAGTGTTCCTTTCTTCTCAGAGCCTCTAGATAAGTTGTTCCCTCTATCTAGGTAGTTCTTCTCCTCAGACGACTCTTATGTCTTCCTATGCTTCAAGCCTAAATCCGAACTTCTTTGGATGAGCTTTCTCTACTTTCCAACCCCCAACCATTAGGCTAAGTTAGCTAAACTGGTTATATGTTCCCATAGCACTCTGCCCTTCTTTTTCGTGGCATTTGTAAGTCTTTCATATTTGTAAATCTTTGTTTAATATCTGTTACCTCCACTTGTAAGCTCTGTAAGAGTAGATGCTGTTCCTATTTTGCTTATTCTTGTATTATCACTTCCCTAGCAGAACACCAGATACAAGGAATGCTCAATAAATGTTCATTAAGTCAATGAATTAAAAAACAAAAACAAATTAATAGAAATTTGGTAGCTGGGTACAATGGCTCACACTTGTAATCTCAGCACTTTGGAGGCCAAGGTGGAAGATTGCTTCAGTCCAGAAATTCGAGACCAGCCTGGGCAACATAGTGAAACAAAAAACAAGTTGGACCATGTATTCTTTAGAATTAATCCTAAAGCAGTAAGAAAAGAATTTTGTTGGGCCTTCAACTAATCTCGGTAATTGAAATTGCTATTACATTTAACAAGATTAAAGTTTTAATTAAATGAAATATTTAAGCAATGAGTAAAGTGCGCACTTACAAGATGAAGGATAACTCATCAGTTATTTCACACCAGAGTCTCAGACTTCAGTGTAGAAAAACAGTCTTCAACGTCCAAATTATTTTTATTTAACTTTATGTTTTTTAATTTGAAATTAGATGAAGCAGTTAATTCTTTCATTATGTGGCAGGAGAGGGTGCTAGGGAAGGATGGCAAAAGAGAAGAGAGGCTATCAGCTAATTAGAATGTAATATAAAAAATTACCTTTAAATTTTCGCAAAGAAAATTGGATTGGGGTGTAGAATGGAAAGCTCAGTGGTCTCTATTTTTCACCAGAAAAGTGTTTATAAATTCTAGCATTATTATTGTTAATTTTTTTGCCTGTAATGGGATAGGGTTAAGTAAACTGAATGTAGGATTTTAAGGAAAGGGCTATATCCAATTTCAAAGTAAATGTGATAATTAAGTTTCTGGAGGCAGGTTCTGAATTCAATTCAATTAAATAAGGCATGTAACATATGTAAGCAGCCTGGCACTTAGTAGACACTCAACAAATGCTCTTACTGTATATAAAGGGTGAATAAGAACTGCATACACACTAATTAATGTAGGTTAAATGCACCTTTAAAAACAAGTACAAAATGCTGTAGAGGTACACAGCATACTGCCTCAAAACTATATGACCAGTTTTATCATATGACCAACTTTCCTTCCTTCCTTCCTTCCTTCCTTCCTTCCTTCCTTCCTTCCTTCCTTCCTTCCTTCCCTCCCTCCCTCCCTCTCTCCCTTCCTTCCTTCCTTCCTTCCTTCCTTCTCTTTCTTTCTTTCTTTTTTCTTTCTTTCTCTCTTTCTCTCTTTTTTTCTTACCCTGCCCTGCCCTGCCTTCTCCTCCCCTCTCCTCCCTTCCCCTTCCCTCTTCGCTCTCCTCTCCTTTCTTTCCTTTCCTTTCCTTTCCTTTCCTTTTCTTTTTTCTCTTTCTTTTCGACAGGGTCTCACTCTGTTGCCCAGGCTGGAGTGCAGTGGTGTAATCACAGCTCACTGCAGCCTCAACCTCCTGGGCTCAAACAATTCTCCCACCTCAACCTCCCAAGTCGCTAGGACAACAGACATGCACCACCATGCCCACCTAATGTTTTTTATTTTTGAGGTCTCACTGTGTCACCCAGGCTGGTCATGAACTCCTGACCTCAAGTGATCCTCCCCACTCAGCCTCCCAAAGTGCTGGGGTCACAGGCCAGCCACCGTGCCTGGCCAGTATAAATTCTTTCATCTATTTCTGAAGGATATCTTAGTTCATTAGCTGTTCTGTATTTGAATGAAATGAGAGCCAAGATCTCGTTCAAAGCTAAAGAGGATAAGGAGGCTTCTACGGAGCAAAACCAGCTGCTTATGCTTTCCCCTGACCTCTTGCAAACTAACGCCTCTGGAATGGCTCTGGCTTGCATGCTGTCTCATTCTCTTGCTCTTTCAACCATTGGCTATAATGTTCCCATTATGGTCCTCCAAGTCATCCATTTCTTTGTCCAAGAGGACATGCATGGTTTTAGTTTGGTTTTTTGTTGTTGTTGTTTTGAGACAGGGTCTCTCCCTGTTACCCAGGCTGTAGCGCAATGGCATAATCACAGCTCACTGCAACCTCAACCTGCTAGGCTCAAGCCATTCTCCCACCTCAACCTCCTGAGGAGCTGGGGCTACAGGCACACGCCACCACGCCTGGCTAATTTTTGTGTTTTTAGTAGAGACGGGGTTTCATCATTTTTCTCAGGCTGGTTTTGAACTCCTGGGCTCAAGCGATCCACCTGCCTTAACCTTCCAAAGTGCTGGGGTTACAGGCATAAGCCACTGTACCGTACCAGTTTTAGTTCTTTAGCAATGTCCCTATAGGTAAGACCAAGACCAGAGGGCATGCCAAATAATTGGAATGCCAACATTTCCGAAATATAGGCATCAGTGGGCTAGATGTTACAGAAGGTTACCAGCTGTAGAAAGAAGCTGAAATTAATTTTCTCTAAGTATTTGAGGAACAGTCAAATTTTAGCATGAAAGCACAGTGTGAATGTTAGGTAGAGTTCAGTTTAATATCTATAGAGAATATTCAATTGATGGTGATCAATTCCTATCTTTCTCTGCCTTTTCAAGACAAATCTATATCGAAACTAAAACTTTACTTCTGGGAATCTTAATCTTGGTGTATCCTGCTACTATGGAGAAGTTTGATGAGTTGTGTATCCTCTAGAATTTTAGTATTTAGTAATTTATTCAATCTTTCATTCAGTTTTCTTAAATAGAATTTTCATTGTATCAGGTCATATGCTAGTCCTTAGGGTGCAAATGGTGAACGAAACAGTCCTGCTCTCAGAGCTTAAGGTTTAAAAGATAGTTAAGTAAAAGGGAAGTTATATTATAGAGTGATAAATGCTGTGGTAGAAGTCTTTAGAACCATTCCACTTGAGATCAAATACAGACATGCAATCAGGTAATCCACCTAAGTGTCCCAGTCAACTGTGAAGTCCTTCAGAATGAGATTATGCAGAGTTTACTTGTTCACATTCTATTTCCCAGCAGGAAAAGGAATACACACAGCTCTTCCTACCATAAAAGTGATGGAAAACCATGGCTAAAAGTATACTAAATTATGCCTGAAAGATACAAAACTATATACATAAAGTGCAACTATGAAATAGAATTACATAGAAAATGGTCATAAATATAATAAAATGTTAATAGCAGTTATTTCTGAGGTAAACTACTTATGGTTGGCTTTAATTTCATGCACTTTTCAACATTTTCTGCCAACCAAAAAACAAAAGTTGAGTTTATTATTGTTATTGTTGTTTTGGTGGTGGTTTGCATTGTTTTTAAAGAATGCCTGAACTTCTATATTACAGGAGCCTGAAAGTAACATTGGAAGTTGAAAAGGAAGCAGATTAAAGGTAAGTGTAGGGCCTGGAGCAGTGGCTCACACCTGTAATCCCAGCTACTTGGGAGGCTGAGGCAGAAGAATTGCTTGAATCCGGGAGGCGGAGGTTGCTGTGAGCCGAGATCGCGCCGCTGCACTGCAGCCTGGGCAACAGAGTAAGCTCTGTCTAAAGGGAATAAAAAAGAAAAAAGATAAGTGTAATAGCTTTTCACAACTGATGATTGAAAAAAAAAAAATCTTGTTACAGACAATTCCTATGGCTCTAATGCAGTATCAACAACTAATACTTATGTATGAGCAAAAATTGATGACGATGATCATTTTTTAATACAACAGTGTAGACCAAAATGCCTCT